GATTGTAGTTATATCTTCTTTTATGACTAGTGTCAATCTTAGTAGAAAAGTTATTTTTTACTGATTTCGATAAATATTATTAATAAACTTCGCTTTTTCCTTCATTGTTTTTTTCAGTATTCATATAATAAAAAATATCTATAAAGAATTACATATTTGAATTCTTCATTCATCTTTGTATTTTATTCTTAATCCTTGAAATAACTAAGTTTTAATATTTATCATCATATACCTATTTACACAATTGTCTACATCGAAACTAGTACCATCTTCCTTAGATATATACACGTATATATATATGAGTGAAGAGCGCGCCAATTGTACTGTTTGGGGAAAAAAATCGAAAAAAATAAATTTAATGATAAAGGAAAGTTAAGTGTTGTATTTAATAGAGCTATGTCCAATATGTATAAAAATAATATTTTCCCAACACTTCCCTGTGCTGTGGTGGAGATTCACGATATTACAGCCAATTTCTATATGCTACATCCATTTTTTCAATAAACTTAGTGTATAAACTACTCCCATAAACACTTTGCTAGTAAAATTATTTTACGTGTCAAAATTTTTTTCCCTTAGCACTTCACTTGATACTCAATGAAGTTTGTTTAAATACAATTTGTTTAAATGAAATTTCGATGATTTTAACGGCGCTCTACACTTTGTTAGTAAAACTGAATTTTCTCTCGAACGGAGAAAGATTTTTGCTTGATTTTTTGGTATGTTATTCTGCTCAATGAGATGAAAAAAAGATCAAATTTTTGTCGCAAACCGTTTAGTTTTCATGGAGTTATAGCGATCACAAAATTGAAAATGTCGCTCTACCTCTACAACTTGTCTGAATATAGCTTTTTTTAACTTTGTATAAAATTTTTCTATTAACGAACTTCATGAAGCAAACTTCTTTGTCTTGTCAAAATAATTTCCCTTTATTTCTCTTTAATACCTAATCAAATTTGTTCAAATGAAATTTCTTCGGTTGAGATAAGCTACATTCACACGATACGAAATAATTGTTATATTCAACGTTAATCGCTGATCTAATCGATTATAGCAACATTTATTAAATATGTCTAAATATTATTAAAATAAAATTAATTTTTTTATGAAAATTTCTTCTTTTGAAAAATTCAATTGAATTTATTATTCAAAAAAGAATATGAAATGCATACAAGGTTTTATTAGATAATGTGATTGGTCCATGTTGTCAATTCCAACAAATCGGGGACAAGTGGAAATCCATATAAGAATCTTGAAAAGGCATCTGTTCTTCAAGAGGTATATTATCAAACTTAGTTTGGTTTTTTTTGAATTTAAATAATCTATTTAAAATAGGCTCGTACATTTAATGAAACTCGTGTAAATGCACGAAAATGTATTCAAATATTAACAAAAATTATTTATATGATCAATCAAATAAGAATAAATAAATCGTTTTTCTTTGACTAAAGACTTATCTCACACTGTTATTTGCAGCCAGATATGGTAAAAAAAAATGTTTCCGTTTTTTTTTCTGTTAATGATGAAAACTGAATCATTTTTGGGAGAAATTTGTTCGTTATTATTTAGATTATTTTTTTTAATTATTTTTGAAATAAACAAATTTAAATATTTTTATTTTAAGGGAGAACAATTAGGTCAAACGGAAGCAACAGAAACATTTTTTGCTATGTCAAAATTATTTCAATCAAAAGATGTAAGTTTATTTAAAAAAGATATAGATTATTTCTTTTTGGAGATTATTGAATTTTTTTTCTAAAGATTATCCTAACAATAAACGTAGTAGAGCGACTAGAAATAATATAAATCGCAACATAACTACAGATAGTCCTTTTAGAAGTTCATTGATCATACATTAATTTAATCCTCTTCAGAATAAAGATGCATTTCACAGCATCTTCATATGATCATTATTTCTGTTCGATATATTTCAACACAATTTCATAGAAAATTCTTCGACCTTATTATTATAATATAATATGATCAAATTTTCTTTTATTTCGACAATTTTAGGTGAAAATCGAACGATATATTTTTTTTGTTGAGAACTTTCATATCAGACAACTTGATCATATTACACACATATATTTGTTAAGCAATATAAGGAATTAGTTTGTAAAATATAAACAACATATCCAACGATATCGTTCAAGTTCTACAATATACATCTCTACATTGGATTGAGAAGAATCATTTTATTTTTAATAAGAGTTTTATGAAAAATTTTGCTATAAAACAGATCGAAATAATTATTAATCGTTATCTTGATGAATTGTCTCGTTTATCTCTATATCATACTAATCGATCTCTTTTTAATTTTCATTTCGGATTTTCTAAAAACAATGAAATTGATCACTATTTATTTATTTATATAATAAGATGATGCTTCGTCGTATGATTTATTTATCATTAAAAGAAATGTCAACAGTTGCAAATGATGTTATTATTGTAACATCAAGTTTAACTCGTGATATGACTGAAAAAGAAGATTCTCATCGTGGACCAGCTATACGAGCTTTATGTAAAATTATTGATGTATGTATATTTAAATATAATTCGAAACAAAAGAAATATTTATTTAACTAAATAGGCATCAATGATGCAAAGTGTTGAACGATATATGAAACAAGCAATTGTTCTGAAGTAGTTAAACGATAGGTTAATGAAGTTCAAGAAACTGTTAATAATGATAATATAATGGTATACAATATCATGCACTTGGGCTTTTATATCAAATACGTCGAACGGATAAATATGCTATTAGAAAATTAATTGTCAAATTTTCTAAAGCTGGTTTTCGAAGTCCATATGCATATTGTTTTCTGGTTAATATATCAATTTTTTTTATAATTAATTCAATATTTGAATTTTATTTCTTTAGATTCGTATTGCATCTAATCTTATAAATGAAGAAGGCGAAGGGTAAAGAGAGAACATATCAACAAAAGAAATAATTAAAATATTAATTTACTTTTAGTACGGATAGTCCAATGTATGATTTTATTGATTCATGTTTACGTCATAAAAATGAAATGGTTATTTATGAAGCTGCATCAACAATTGTATCACTTAAATGTGTTACACCAAAAGAACTTAGTTCAGCTGTTAATGTTCTTCAATTATTTATTTCATCATCTAAACCTGTTTTACGTTATGCAGCTGTTTGAACACGTAATAAAATTTGTTTTATACATTTTACATAACAAAAATATAGAATTCTCTTGAAATTTAAAGGTTGCTATTCAATATCCAGCAGCTGTAACAGCTTGTAATGTTGATCTTGAAACATGAATTACTGATTCAAATCGATCAATTGCAACATTAGCTATAACAACTCTTCTTAAAGTATTTTTATATTAATTAAATAATTTAAATTGTTTTTCTTTTTTGTAGACGGGTAATGAAGCAGGTGTTGATTGATTAATGAAACAAATCTCATCATTTTTATCTGAAATATCAGATCAATTTAGAACAGTTGTTGTTGATGCAATTAAGTAAGAGATAATCACAAAAAAAAATTTTTTTTCTTATCATTAAATTGAATATTTCAAAGATCATTATGTCAAAAATTTCCACGTAAACATACTGTATTAATGACATTTCTTTCAAATATGTTACGTGAAGAAGGTGATTATGAATATAAAAATGCAATTGTTAATACAATTATTTCAATTGTTGAAGAAAATCCTGAAGCGAAAGAAGCAGGTAAAAACTAAATAATCGGATTTTAATTTTTTTTGTATATGGATTTTATTTAAAAAGTTTGCCTCATTTATGTGAATTTATCGAAGATTGTGAACATGCATCATTAGCTACTCGTATTATTCATTTATTGGGTCGTGAAGAACCACGTACAACAACACCAGCAAAATATATTCGTTATATTTATAATCGTGTTATTCTTGAAAATGCACCTGTTCGAGCTGGTAAAATTTTTCTTATTAGTTTTTTTTTTTATTTTATTTTTAATTAATTAATATTTGTAGCTGCCGTAAGTTCATTGGCTAAATTTGGTGCAGCATCAGAAGATTTATTACCAAATATTTTGGTACCTTTACAACGAACAACACTCGATCAAGATGATGAAGTTCGTGATCGTGCTATAAAGCACTTAATTCAGCTTATATTCTCAATTGTAAGTATAACAAATTAAATTAAATTAAATATTTTAATATAGCAATGAATGTATCATTATCATCACTTGAACGTCTTTTACATCATTATACAATTGAACCAACAACAAAACCATTTGATGTTCGATCTGTACCTGTTGAAGCAGTTCTGGTTGAACAACCTAAAGGTTTGATATTCAAATTTGATTTTATTATTTAAATAAAATTGTTTTTTTTTTATAACAGATATTAGTATTGGTGTTGGTCTTCCACGTCCAGGAATTGAATCGAAAACAAATCGAGAAAATACTTATGATGGTAAGTTTCAAAAAAAAAATAATTTCTTTCGTCAAATTCATTTTTCTATTTCTTAGAACAATTATCTGCTATACCAGAATTTGCTCATTTGGGTCCAATATTCAAATCATCATTACCAGTTGATTTAACTGAAAGTGAAGTTGAATATGTTGTACGATGTATAAAACATATTTTTAGTCATTATATTGTTTTTCAAGTAAATATTCTACTGATTCCTCTTTTTTTTTTTATTGAATTTTTTAAAACTTAGTTTGATATCAATAACACACTAAATGATCAATTATTAGAACGAGTAACTGTTCAAATCGATGGATCAGCTGAAGGTTTTGAAGTTGTCCATTGTACTACTTGTCAAGTTATTAAATGTAATGATACGGGTACAACTTATACATTAGTTAAATTACCTGATGATTCATCAGCTGTAACTGGTAAATTAGCATGTACAATGAAATATACAGTTAAAGATTGTGATCCAACGACCGGTGTACCAGATGATGAAGAAGGTTATGCTGATGAATTTGTGGTTTGTATTTTTATTAATTTCAATTATTTATTTGTCATAGCGTTTTGTCTTTTGTTTTTAGCTTGAAGATATTGGAATAACAGTTAGTGATCATGTACAAAAAGTACTTAAACCAAATTGGTCTGCTTCATAGGAAGAAATTGGAGCTGAAAATGAACTTGAAGATACATATACATTATTAATTCCAACACTTGAAGGTATTATAAAATTATTATATTTTATTTTTCATTTCATCTTATGTTTATTATAGAATGTGTGAAGAAAATAATAAATTATATGGGAATGCAAGCTTGTGAACGATCAGACAAAATTCCAGAAGGCAAAGCATCACATGCACTTTATTTAGCGGGTGTCTATCGTGGTGGACATGATGTACTTGTTCGAGCAAAAATGGCATTGGGTGGTACAACAGTATATCCAGGAGCACAAGCTATTACCAGGCAATTAACAATACGTTCGACAGATGAATCAGCTGTGCAAGTTATTGCTTCAGCAGTCGAATAAATAAATAAATAAATAACAAAAACATTGATACATTTTATTAGCATACTTTTCTTTTTTGTTGTGTGGAACTTTTTATCGATGTGCGAGTGTTATAAACTTATTATTCTCTTACTCTAAATAATATACACAGAAACATACTTTTTTCATCGATTATTATTCCATCATAGTGCCTAATTTAAAAAAAAATCAATTATTTTGACAAAGATTCGAAGCAAGCATTGACCAAGGCTAATAGAGCATATAACTTTTTTTTTTCTTATTAATTTAACTTTTCTATCCATCACTCAGTAACATAAAGATAATGTTCTATTGGACATAGTGTTAGTTGTTTTTCGTGTCAATATCTAAACTTAAATGATAGATGACTTTCTCTTGCATAAAAAATACAAACATTGTGCTTTTTAAAAAGCTGTTTCAATTTAACCAATCCAAGTTGAAAGAAATTGAAAAGTATGTATGACGATTAGTATTACTACAAAACTGTTGTCAATACTATTTAGCATGTTTCTGAAGAATATTGTGAACTGATCGTTTAATCATTTATGTATATTCATTATCGTTTATCGGTTGTCGTTACAGGTGTAACCCATAAAACTGCTTGCATAAAAAGATTAGCATCAATTCTTCTTGGCTATTTTCGATTTAATCAATTCGAAAAACAAAGCTTGCAAAATTTTGTCTTTCGATCGGGCTAATAGTAAATAAATGAGATCTTCTGTATAGAAGCGAATTGCAAAACTTTATTTTCGCTTTCAAAAGAAATTTTGATTATCCGTTCTTAATTTCATCCCGTCACAAAGTACGGACTTTTACTTCGCACTTATAGAAACATCGATCTTCATAAATGCTGTGCTTCGCATTGCATTAAATAGACTGCAACAGACATACGACATCTATTCAGATGCATAACTCGACATATTGATAGTATCATACGAAAAAGTTATTGATCGCGTCCCATAAAAAAAACTGCGTGAAGAATTATATGTGATATGATAATGGACGAAAGCAAGAATCAAACGAGTTGGGAACATGATGCGTGAACAATCTATATGAATACTACAAACGAAAAACGGCTGCATTTCAGCGATTGCTTGCTCGCATAAAGTTCCATTGATCAGATAAAAACTATGATCTGATCGTTGATAAGGTAGTATGCCGTGAAAAATTATAACCGCGACGAACTAACTGATTATTTCGTTTGTTATGGGTCCGAGAAAAAAAAAGGACGTCACTACAAAAGAAAATAATATTGACCGAATTAAACGCGAGCACGAAATGATACGCATCAATTGATTGCATATGCGCAATATTTATATGTGATTCGTAGATTCATTTTATTGTTTCTGTTTTTCATTAATCAAGGACTGATTTAAAGTTTAAAGAGAAATACAGATGATATTTCAATTCTTAATAATCTGCCATTCTTTTGTTCATGGTTTATTCATATAAAATGAAACTATGAGAATACAATGACTACTTGTATAATGAATTAGTATGATCGAAAAGCGGCCTTTGATTAAATGACGAAACTTTATTTACTATAAAATCCTAAGAAAGATAAGAAAAAACAAAGATTCTTTTTATATTTCTGTTCGATGATCAGTTACTTTATATAAAAGAGTGACGAAAAAAAATTAAGAATAATAAGATCAACTTAATAATCTTGCTGATAATTCAATATCTCTTCAGTAGGCGTAAATAATATCGATAAACGAAACATTTTTAAACGTTATAGATTGAGCTTATGAAGTACAAGATGTTTGATATGTTGAAAACATCATCGAATTAGACAAAACATTTCAATTCAATTGTTTTACTATCAACAAATCAAGTATTATCATATTCGTTTAGTTTTAAACAAGGAAGTGCAGATAAAACAGTTTCACATTATATTTAGACAATAAGAATAGACAAAGAACAAGAAAAAAAAAGGGAAGAAAATAAATATTTATTGCAAAGATTAAGGCCGATTCGTTTTTGTGCATTTCACTGTTTGTTCAACTTGACACACCGAGAAGCACAATAAAAATAGTTCAGACTATATGTATATACACGAATATTTTAAACGCCAGTAAGTCCTTTGAGTAATGCCGGTTCCAAATGAGCGAAATCAAAATCTTTAACAGACTCTAAAATATTGATAATAAATTGATTAAGTTTCTCTTGTCGGAAACAATTATTTAATGGATCATAGAATTGTTGTAGACATGCATCACTGCATTGACTTAATAATTGAAACTAATCTGATAGTAAATGAAGTCTAAAATATTATATTAAATAATGATAAAAATAAAACAAACAATAGTTCAAGACATACTTGCAAGCTAAACAGCACCAACTTTGAAAGCAACCATCTTTACCAAATGTAGAAAGACCTTTTTCAATTGATCGAACTCCATTTATATAACAAATAATAGTTTTTTCTAATTTAGTACGTTGCCATTGGGATCGACGTCCATCATATTCATCACAAACTTTAACTGAATAGAAAAATATTAAAAAAAGAAAAAAGTAAAGAACTAAATGTTGTACTTAAGAAGTCCCAAACATATCGTTTTCGTCCACCGCCAAAAAATGGAACATTACCAGTTGATTTTTTATTAAACCATAGGAAAGAGTTTTTTCTAATGCATTAACAAGACCATCTTCACCACATAAAATTGGTGTTATTAATCCTCTCTAAATAATTTTTAGTAGAAATTTTTTGAAAATAAAAAGCTTTATTTAAATTACTTTTTTTTTTCAGGTTCATCAAAATATTTAACTAATTGATTAATTGATCGACCTAACAATTCATAAATATCATCAGCTTGTTGATTTGATTGATTTTCAAAATCATAAACAGAATCAAATTATACATGATCGATCAGAAGAGGAAAAAAAATTCTTGTTAGATCAATAGCAGTGGTAGTGCTGAGATGTCAAAGAAAAAAAAGTACAAAAAAAAAGAAAAAATCATTATTTCATGCAAATCTTACGACGATAAAAATTTTCCGTGAGCCAACTGAAGACAAAATCTGTAGGAGACGTTCATATGGCATTAATAATGTCATGAATTAAAATAGAATTACTGAGAAAATATCTTACTTTGATCATTGACACGTCGTAAACTAGGTGATCGTGATCGTACAGAAGCTGATAAATTTGCTTGAGATCCACCACTTATGAAACTTGTTGTCATTAATTGAAATGGTGAAGCAGAATCGAATAAACCATTAGTATTATTATCATTCATTTCACATGAATATGTCGAATCAATAAAAAGAAGTCGCTCTAAACTATCACCATCAACACCTTTACCTAACCATCGTCCACATGGAAATCTATTTTTTGAAATGAAAATTAAAAAAACAATAATTAAAAAAGATTAAAAGTAACAAACCGATAAACATTGTTTGTTAATTGATTTCGAACAACAATATGATCAATATTCCATCGAGGCATTAAACCAGTATTATCATGACCTATTCGAAGTGTTGTTAATTGACCCAAATTTTTGTGCTAAACAAAACAAAAAAATAAAAATCATCATGAACTTTTGTTTTTCATTCTATTTCATATAAAATCCAGATTTTACTTTGAATTTAATTTCAAGTGTTTTTTTTTTATGGTAATGGTATAACTTTTGTTGATCCCAAAATACCAGCTAATGCAATATATGGATTAGCAGTTGTTGTACTAGAAATTCTTGTTGCTCGTGCTCTGGTAGGAACAATAATAACATGATAAATAATATCAATATCTGAATAAGAATTTGAAAAATATTTATAATCAAGTAATTGAAGCGATTCAATATGAGCTAAAAATTGTTTTCTTAAATCTCCATCATCGGTTACGTAAAAAAGCTTCACGTTTATATAAAGCTTGTAAAAGATCACTATGAGAAAATAATTCAGATAAAAGACGACGTTCAAGTGTCAAACGAACAAATGCACGAGCAAAAACAATTTCAGATGCTGAAACAGACACTGGATTATGTCGAAAACATAATTCAACAGAATGAAAATCATGTGCTAGAGATGTATTCGATTGATTAGTTATCATCATATTATCGGATGGAGCAAGATTGAATGCTGAAGTTGCCATTGCTAATAGAGGTGATGAACGTACTTGATGTAGGCTCATTTGAGGACGTGGAAGAGTATGAGAACCTAATAAATACACAGAAAAATAAAGTTAACAAAATAAAACAAGAAAGTATATTGCTTATGATGACCACTGGGAGATTGAGATCGACTAGCTGATGAACTACGATTTACTAATTGTTTTCTCATTAAACACCAAACCACAGCTAAATGAAAAATTCCATTTAAATTTTAAGAAAAAACAAATTTGTACCTGGATTTTCATCTTTATTCAATGTTACTAGAAGACCGGCATGAGACATTTGTGTTGATTCATAATTTATAAGTTTAACATAATATTTGATATGATTCCATAAAGCAGATTTTCCATTTGGTTTATGATGAAGACGATGAGACCAAGTACGTTCAAGTAAATCACCAAAACCTGCTATTAAAACATTTTCTTCTAAATTAACCATTGATGATGAATCTTCAATAATATCTTCCATTTTTTCAATAACCATTCGTTTTGTCTTAACAAATAACGAAAGAAAGAAGACTTTTTTTTACAAAATATATTTTTATTATTTACTTTAGTAGTACATTCTTTAAGTAATTGTTGAAAAACAACATTATTTTCAAGAAGAACAACAGTTTGTGGATGTTCATTAGAAGCAACTGTTTGTTGTTTTTTTATTCTTGTAATACGTCGTCGTGGATATTTTGTTTGAAATGATCGAGTTAAACGAGAATTTCTTTTTGAAATTCCACTAAATAAAAGATGAAGATATATCTATAGATGTTGTTGATTCAAGTAAACTTCCATTAAGATTTTCAAATAAATAAGAATTATTCGATGTAGAAAATGAATTATCAAGTGGACGAACTAATGGTGCATTCATTACAATTAATGAAGATGGAAAAGGTGAAGTAAAACGACGACGAGTTTCTTCATCAATTGAATCAATTGATGGACAATATTGATAAGTTAAATCACGACGATCACGGTATAAACGAATATGATCAGAAAAATACTTTGAATACAAAAAATAAAAATAAATTCATATGAAAGAATTTAATTAAAAAAAAAGAAAATTTTTTTACTTGTAAATGTTTATTAGTTAAACCAAAAAGATGATTATCTTCATTAAATTTTGATGCAATTTTACTATCAACAAATGAAACAAATGATTGTGTTTCCATAAATGCAAGTAAAAAAGACACATGTGGTTTTGGTTGATCAGCAATAAACATAGTTCGATCAAAATTTTTTGTTGTACTTCGTTGTGCTAACCATTGATCAACATTAGAATATTTGCCCACTGGTGGATAACATATAAATGCATCCATTTGACTAAATAATTGGGCAAAACGATTTATAAATGATGCCCGTAAACAATTATTCGCTGATATTCGACGTAATTCAGATTCATTAAATAAACATGATAGTCTACTATTACTATTTTCATCATCATTATTATTAATAACAACTCCAGCACGTTTAACTATTGCTGCAAGTCTTGCTAATGCTTGACTTGGTTCATAATTTGATTCTTTTAATAAATTTTCATCATAAATATGTGTCCAATCTTCACTCTGTTGATATTTTTGTTTAGTTTTAAAAGATTTTTTTGATAAATTACTATGAATATAATTATTAAATCGTAATAAAATATTATTTAATTCATTTATAAAACAAGTTCGATCTGGAAAACGTGGTATATCATTAGGCAATTTAATATGTCCAGTATCAATATGAACAACACATCGTTGAACTTCAAATGTTAATTCATCGCTTGTATCACTAGATCTATCATCATCATCAACATTTTTACCATCGGAATTTACATTCGATTT